ATCTTGTGATTTACTGTATACTTAAGAGAATGGTTCAATACCGAATGGAGAATAAGATAGAGAGGTGTTGTCTCTTTCACTGTCTCGAATTGGTATGACTGTTGTGTGTTTTAAATTTTGTATTGTGTTTGTGTCGTTTTAATTTTCTGTTTGTATCCCCCCTCCCTTTTTGAGTTGTGAGCCGCCCTGAGTCCCTTCTGGGAAAAGGGCGGCATACAGATAAATTAAACCTAAACCATAACTTCAATTCCCTTTTCACTCCAAATATTTGTTGTTTTATACTGATTTAAATGCAGCAACTAACACGACCAATAGTTTAATTTTCTTCATTGGACAGGTTGCATCTCCGACCGATACAAGCAATTTTGATAGCTTCCCTGAGGACAACGATGAACCACCACCTGATGACAACTCAGGATGGGACATAGACTTTTAATTGTTTTTTCTCTTACCTGCTTCTGCCTTGCTGAAGACAGCTTCCTGAGACATGGCTGCCAGCAGACCTGAAAGATTTGGGAAGGATTCATGCTCGGGGTCACCATGATGCCTTGATTGATGCTGCTACAGTAATTACAGTGGCATTAGGACTTCTTGTTTAGATGACAATAGTGCTCTTCACATGTTTTCTGTTTGAATTTAACACAGCAGTTGACATGGTGGTCCTGAAGCAAAACTTTTTTTCATTGATGATTTACATGTGTTTTCTATCATGGTACCGAACATGCTATTGCCTCCATTACGATTTGAAAGTTCGTAGAATAAGATGCACATAATTCTAGCTGTTAAGTTCATTTCTCTTTATTGATAAATATATTCCAAGCTGTTTTAAGTGCTGTAGCCGATTCTATGCTTGTAGAATCAATGGTTACAGTAACTGGGGTACCCCCCCAAACTGCAGGTTGAGTGCATTGAGCCTCTTAAAGAAGGCCAGTGTGTTAAACTAAGGAGGACCAGAAAAAAAAAATGGAGCTCGTGTCAAAGCAGTGCTATAATTTGTCTTTCTTTTCAAGCAGTACACAAGACAAGAATGAATGTTACCTTTCTTCATTTTTAGTTCTGATCACGCTTTTCTTCCCTACTGATAACCAGAAGCACAACTGCTACACTTCCTGTGAAACTGTTAAGCAAATGTGGGTCAGTCAATCCTCCAGTCCCATGTCTTGAGAATTTACTTTTTATTGTTTCTTTTGGGGATTACGGATACGTAAGAGCATGTGGGGGGGAAAAAATTATTCGTTTTACGTATATGCTATAACCATCTTTTAAAAGAAAAAAAGGAAGAATGCTTATTCAGAGGTCCTAAAAATGAGATATTAACCAACTGTAAATATTAGGCCTTTTTAGTTGCTCTAAAATAACTATCACATTGAGAGCCCCCCGAAGTTGCAAAATCCACTGCATTATTATATAGGTGCTATGTAGATCTTTCATCTGTGAAAGAAAACAAACTTCCACACTCATTTTTCAGAAGAAAAAAAAAGATGTAGCAAGAAATTTCACTGTCAGTTAGAACTGTATGAGTGGGTGTATTCCTATGCACACTTATACGTGGGTGATATATGTATATATACATATTTTTAATGCTACTGTGCAGTACTGCCCTCATTTTCTTTTCTTTTCTATTTTTCCAGATCCCACAAGTATTTTATTTATTTTCCCCAAAGATAATTAGTTCATCTTTCCTTGTAAAATATAACTCCTACAGATCAGCCTACAGACATGGAACAATGTAATTGAAATGGGATACTTCGATATGCCTTTCCTTTCAAAAGGAGGATTAAATTCACTTTTAAATGTGTCCCGTTGAAGTGGACAAGTCTTTAAATGGGTCCATCTGAATGATGAATTACATCTACCAGTTATGAATCTTTTAATGGTCAGTGCTACAGACTAATTTGTCCATGCTTGTTAGGAGAATCCAACATGTTCAGAGGACAGAAATGTCAGAAAGGCTATTATAGATAACAATTTTCGAGGCAATTCCAGCAATGACTTCCATGTATCAGTATAACTTTGTTAGCATTTCTCAATACGCTGCTGAAGTAGTCTTGCATCTGTGACAGTTTCTTAAATTAGTTCCACGAAGAGATAACCAACAGCCACATTTATAGAATGTCAATTTCCTTTGGAATTCTCTCCAGATTTCTCTGAATCCATAAATAAATTTATACCTCTAGTTTTGTCACCATGCATTAATTTAGTTTGCTTCCCATTATCTTTTCCCCATTGCCTAATACCATTCTGTTTACTTACTTCGCCCTATTCAGCATCTCAAATCCTATTAATGAGGACCAGATTCAGACCACGTTATTATCTTATATAGGCTATAATGCTATTGCATTTTACTGGAAATGAATTCCACTGATGGTCACATCCGATTAGACATATGCAAGTTTATATTTTTCTTTTACTCTGAAATTTATGAAATATGAATTATGACTAGCTTGCGCCATTAATTTCATTATTTTAATTATTTAACAATGCATTTCATTATTTTAGTTATATTATAAGCATGTGCTTATGCAGAAGTAAGACCCTACTTTGTTCAACAGAACATATTCTGAAATAGGTATCTATAGGGTTGTTATCTTAGTCTGGATCTAATCCAGTTTGCATAACTTAGAATTTCCCTGTCGTTGGACAGGGCTATAAAATGAACTTGAAGCGAAACACTGGCTGTTCCATACATTGCACTGGATTAGCATTATATCTAAAATTGTCAAAGTTAGTTTTCCTCATAATTGATGCTTTAGAGATTAGCGCCAAAACATCCAGAAATGAATGGCTACTTCCAATTATCACCAATGATTCAATGAAAAAAGTCCTCTAGGCTAATACATTAGAAAACAATATATGAGTTTGAAGGATTAAAAAAAACCCGAAGAGACGATAATCTCTTTGTAATATTTTCACATATTTTATACAAACTTGTGGCTTATTTTTAAGATATTTAGGGGAGGGGGGTTGGTGGGGGGGATACTGTTTGTCTGTTCCTACTGATGGCTTCCACCAAAAATAATAATAAAGAACCAGCATCAAACCAGGACTGGTACGATATAATAAAACAGTCCTGGAAATAGCACTCTGCTTCCAATAGACATAGGATCAGGGGGTAGGAATCTTTGACGTGGCATTTAACATCCAATCACATGTACATCTATCAGCCTTACTGAAATGAGTCAAGCTTCCAAACCTTAGTAAAGGTAAATCTTTTTAATTGACTTAGTTACTGAGAAGAGCAAGCAATAGGCCATTGTAATTTTCTGATATATGTGTGTATGTGTGTGTGTGTGTGTGTGTACGTACATACATACGCATAAATACACACACATGTGTGTGTACGTACATACATACATGTACACGTACACAGACACATAGAAACACGCACACAGACACACACACACACACACACACATA